GAAGATTTTATGATTTTTCTTTGCATGTTTTATAATTTTTTCTATGGTTTTTTCTCATTTTTAAGATAAATCTCACTGTCTTTTAGCCATATTAGGAGATTCACAGTCATACTAGGCCCAATCAAGTCCCCACAACATGTAAAACAAAGCTTAAGTAGGGGATATCATGTTTAAGCGCTTGATAGGGGATCCAAGTGAGTACCTCTACCACAAAGGTAAGATCACAAAGAACTGTCATAAGATCAACTGATGAAATTATTTTGAGGGTCACTTGCTTTCATACCAAGGAACTATTAAGAATTTTAGGTGCTCTAAGTACATACTTTTTGCATAAATAACTTGAGGCAAATATGAAATAAAATAGTGTAGTCACATAGACAATTGGTCCAATTGAAATTTCCATTATATAACTTTGTTACAACCTTAATATTGTCAATTTCACTCCACCTAGTCTTTGAAACTTCATCAATTGTTAATGTTCAAAAGAACAATGATATACTCCAAGATCAATCAAAGCATATAAATTTTTTAAGCGTTTTCTAAACCAAGCTAGACTTTTTATCAATATGTATGGAACACAAAATTTAATTATATGTTTCATTACCTCCTCATCATTACTTTTTAAATGATCAGCCTTAAACCTTTTCATATGTTTGTCAAGATAAGTTCTACTCACATTATTGACAACTTAACAAGCTTTACATAACTGGTACATAATCAATAAATAAGGCTTGTATAAGGTGTAAATAAACTATAAAGATATGATATAATATTTGATATAATTCACCAAAGAAGTTGATTTTGTGTAGTGCCCCCAGCCATAAGGAAATAAAAATGGAAAAGTAGTCATCTCAAATGTCAACTCATCTCTTAAAAAGATATTTTTTCGATCAATAGATACATGAAAATCATTATTTTTGTTGTGATTCAAAATATAAACTATTAACTTCAAGCCTAATATTGCATATATATCATTCTTTTTGAAAGATAATTTCTCATTATAAGGTTTTTCATTTGCTAAAAGAGATAATGAATTACAGTCATTAATACTATTCATTTCTAGGAAAGGTTTCTACTTAGTAGACTTGCAACCAAGAAAAATTAAATATAATACACATATATAATTAATAAAATAATTTACCTCTCAACCATACCCTTCACACAATTTGAAGATAACGTTGCTATTATTCTTTTTTTATGTGGCCTCCTATACATAATTTTATATTTTAATATATATGGGTTGTTCTCAATATTGAACAATAATAAATCCAAGACATCATTTTACATCTCTTCAACATATGTATCAAATATATCTTTCAACAAATAAGTGGATCATAAAAAATAAAATATTATTCTAAACAACCGTTTGCTATGGAGTTGCCCTTTTTTTCACTTGGAAAGATAAATCAACTAAAGATAATAATTGTGTTTGTAGGGGCGGTCCTGTATTAATAAATAAAAATAAAATAATTAATAATTAATAACTAAATAAATATTCTTTTTAAATTTAAAGTACCTTTAATTAGTGGTTCAATATATCCATTAGAATATAAAACAACATTCTAACTAAAATTTGAACCTTTTCTCTAACATTAATTGCACTCTCAACATAATGATTCTATACCACATTCCTCTTGTATATAGCTTGTCAAGTGAATAAAGTTAAATGAGAATGGGCTTATACCTCCATGAGCATCCTTAAAGAATATTAAATTTGTTTCAATATTCAACTTTTCCACAATAAGTGCATAATTGTAAATTATTTATTGTTTGTGAGTACATGTTCCTCCATTCCTTAAGAAAAAGAAAAAAAAATTCTCCAATTTGAACATACCAAATGTAATATATCTCTACTTTTTACAATTGACCTTAATCATCTTTTACAAGCACCTAATTTTAATTTGAAAAATAATTAATAATATACTTTCTCTTACACAATTAAAAAACAAACAAAATATCTCTCTTCATAATCAAGAGACTTTTGAAATTTTTTGAAAGGAAACCTAAAAACCTATAAATCAATATTTCAACTATTATTATCTTGTCTCAAATTTAAGTAAATTATAAACTAAACATTTGAATGCAAACCTACAAACACCTAAAAAGTTGGTGATATATTACTTAAAATCACTAACAATCATCCAACCCACTATTCTGATTACCACATCAATTATAACAACTTGAATAAGAGTTTGGTCAATATTTAAAGCAAATGTGAAATTCACCATGTCATGCTGAAAAAACAAGTAGATAATTTAGTGATGCTAGCTACAACAAAAGAAAAATGCAATACCACAACACTTTGAACAACTTTGAGTTATTAATTCTTAAATTAATAAACTAAATAACAAAGCATCCATGGCTTTGTCAATATCCAATGTATTGACCTGAAGACACCCTTGTGTGAACCAAATGAAAAAATCACCTTTTTTTATTTGTTGCAGTAGCTTGCATAATATATATATAGTGATAGGCTAATCATATAATAGATTGTGAAATGGGTATATTGGTAGCTGCAAAATAGGAAAAACACAAAATCTCTCACCAACATATTCTAGAAGAAGCGAAAAAACAAAAAATGCACCTCCTTTGTTATCATTTTCAACTTGCTTTTGAAAATTGTTGCAAAAAATCACAATATTGCAAAGTGTAAAGATTCTAGTCTTTACACCTTGTGTGCCAACCTAGTATTAAGAGGTTTATTTTTAACAACATTACAGTAATGCAAAAAATTATGCTTAAAACAAACCTCATTGTGAGAGCTAAAAACGTTGTTATGGGAACAATAATTTGAATTAGTTCTAACTTGTCTTTTCATACAATAGTGAAGTGTTATGCAAATTAGCAAGACTTTAGTATAGATATCAAACAATAGAGCTGTAAATTTGGAGTACATTGCAAAGCATGGAGGTTATGGAGGTTAGTAAAAAATCTTATCTTTCACTTCTTTGTTGCCCACTAGCAACATTTATCCATTTACGGGCAATTCTTGTTACACAAACACATGCCCTAAATGAGGCTTACAGAGAATATATTTACACATGAAAGAATATAATCATATGCTATAGTACTATAATTAGTTTTGTAACACTAAAAATTAATTAATTAAAACTTAAATTTAATAAATTACCACTTATTAGGTAACACAACAATTTAATGATGTGGCAAGTTAGTTTTTTTTTACCCCTCCAATCCAATAACTATGGTGTGTAAAGCTAAAGCTTCATCAACAAACCTAAGTGATACAAGTGCAAAAAAATGCTCAATTTTGGTCAAGCTTTACTTCTAATGTTAAAAGAAAACTTGGTGACTTAAAAGATAATGAAGTTGTTCAAAAGAAGTTTAAATCCAGCAACGAAAGGTCTATTTTTTCTTCTCTCATTTCAATTCATTCATTACAATTTCCTTATAAGAGATATATTTCTAATGACAAGTCATGTAGAAAGTTGAGCTGCTTGGGTGTTCACCCACAAAAATTCATTTACGGATTTAACTCAATTGGAGAAATTAGCACATTCATTGCACAAAAGAAAGAAGAAGCAAGCATTTAGAAAGAGCAACACAAACTCCAACCACTTTCAGGTACTAGAATGCCTAAAACAATAAACACTCATTTTTAATTTATTGTAGGCTTTGCAAAGCTCATATGGGATAAGCTTGGAGTGGAGTATAAAAATCATCTTCTTTTTCTAATAAAAGTAGAATATCATACCTCCAAAAACGCCATACACACCTCATCCAAGCTCTTGCATTCCCCATACGTTTGAACGAGCAGATTCCCCACAAGCCTGTCAGCTTCATAACCTTGCCGCAGCAGATGCCTGTGCAGATTCCTGCCTTCAAGCAAATCCCTCTGTCTCTACACATTTCCAAAGCAGACTAACAATTTCATGTCTCCTCATCTACGAACCCATCACTCTTCCTCTCCGAACTCTACCAGGAAACATAACTCAAACACAAGTTCCCCAAGAAATATGGAATCTCCCAAATACATAATACTACCAGCATTGTTTATTTGTAACGGAAACATGGAACATGGATACCATTATGTAGTACGGCATGGAAGTCTCTCAAACTCTCAGCATGCTCCTTGCTTGTTCTTGATCTAGTGCTGTGGAACTTGGATCCCTGTAGGAACACACAAACGAATGAAACATGATCAAAATGCAACTCTTGGCTCTGGATTTAATCCATAAGGGAACTGGATTCATGAAAGATCTTACCAGCACATTTGAGGCTTGGCAACTGGCAAGTCACACTTGGCAGGAATTGCAACGGCTGTTGGGAGGTTCACCCTTTTGTCCAAGAATCTAGCTCTGAGGAAGGTCTAGCAAAGACAATCCACATTTTTCAACACTTAAAAGAAATGTTAAGGGGGAATTTGGCCTCTTGAATCCCCAGGAGGGGGGTGTACTGTCCGAACCATCAAGTGTTTTGGACAGTACACTCCCCTCCTGGGGAGCATGTCAATTTGGAAGGGGGGATTTGGGAGCCCGAATCCCACCCCCTCAACTTTTCTTGAAGTGTTGAGCAGGGGGGCATTCAGTATCCTGAATTCCCCCTGAAATTAGCTGTGCCCTCCACAAAGGGAGCAAAGTGACCAAACCATTTGATGGTTTAGTCACTATGCCAAAGTTACGAACACGGCCGGGATCCCGGCCGTGTTCACCGTGTTTCACGAACACGGCCATGGGTCGTGTTCCCACGGCCGTGTTCGTGAACAGTGGTCCGTGTTACTAACACGGACCGTGATCCCGGCGACCACGGCCGGGATCACGGTCTGTGTTAGTAACACGGACCACTGTTCAGAATATTCTCGCGCGGAATATTCTGGTTTTAGGGCGCACGGCATCACACGACAATCCAGCCAGGGCGCACCATTTCAGGGCACAGCAGCAGCAATCCAAGGCAAACAAGCATGGCACAGCAATCCAGCATACTGCAAAAGCATCCTTCTTTGCGATGGTGGGATGAGGTAAGTGTTCTTGAGAGCAGGGGGCATGGCCACAAATTATGGTCATGCAAATGGAGATGGAGATGATGTCGAAGATCGTGAGGTCGAAGATCATGAGGTTGAAGATGACGATGAGATGCAGGATATTTGAGTAGTTTAAAAGTGTGAAGTAGTTTATGTGCAAATAAAAATATTAAGAATAATATAATAAAATATAGCATATTCCTATAATAATATAATAAGAAATAGAATATAATTTTTAAATAACATATTCTTAGAATATTCAGTAGAATATTTGTGAGCCATCGTGGGCCGTGATCGTGTTCCGTGTTCGGGTTCCTGAAATCTGAGGCTCGTGTTCGTGTTCCGTGTTCATGTTCGTAACTATGCACTATGCTCCCTTCATGGGACTCCATAGTGAGTTTAAAGGGGGGATTCAGGACGCCAAATCCCCTCTAGCTCAAGTTCACAACTCTCAGTGCGAGGATGAAGAATTGACATTGGAATTCCTGCCAATGATAGTAATCCCAATTAGGATGTCTTCTCACTTGACAACAACTCTTGGCTTTTTCAATTCTTTTCATGTTTCCCTTGTTTTTCATTTTTCCAGTTTCCAAAATTCAATAAACAAGGAATCTTGCATTTCCTAATTGATAACAAAATTGCATCAACAAAATAGCATTGAACACAGTGTAAGTCTACATGAAAATACATTAATATGGATTGAATACAATATACATTTCTATATTCATAATGAAAAAAGAAAAACATAGTTAAATAGACTTCATTAGTGAAATACATCAAAGATAATATAACTATAGTGAAAATTGTTTAAGCACATAATAAAAAATTTCAACAGAAATGGTTTTTTTTTTAAATCGTATTTAAATACCAATAAAAACAATAAATTATTTTTTATTTTTTATTTTTATATTAATACAAAAACAATTTTAAAAAATAAAAACAAACAGAATATTCAACAGCCATGGAATATTCATTATGGCCCAGAATGATTGGCCCTAAAGAAGTACGACCCCATTCTAGAACATTGCAAACAATTCCATAAGTTATGTATTTGTAGTTATAGTCTTAAAACAATGACTAGTTATCTGGCTTATATAAGTTTGGGCTAATTGAAGTTCTAGTGCTAGATACATAAATCAAAAAGTTAATAACTATTTGGTTCTAACCAAGATTTATTTGTTGTAAGTACATCCGGGTCAAACTAGAATTAAGGCTAACAGTAAACCCAAACTAAAAACATTATTTATAAACAAGGTGAAAATTAACATATGATCAATCATTGGGAAATCTAAGTAGAGTAATTTGATACATCTAAGTTGAACTTCATCAAGTAATCAGACCTAAATTTTATTTTTTCATTAAATAATGCCCTTTAAAACATTCAATATTATAAATGTACTCTGATTTAAACCTTTAACACACTTCACAAAATTTAAATTTAAAATAAAATAAAATATATCTATCTCAAGTTTCAAACAAAATCTTTTGCAAGTATTTCCCAAAAACATGACCAAATTGTAAAATAAACATACACTTTTAGATTATGTAAAACCATGTCCTTATATGTCTACATATTTTCTTAAAAAATAGTTGTTAACTTTGACACATGAAACAGACTCAAAGTGTGTAGCAGTCAAGTGCATTCCCTATTATCTGAACAAATTCACTGTGTCAGCAAGCAGCTTATACTGCTAAGAATGCACAATTCTGCGGAAGTCTAGTCTGGGAATGACTCCCCTTGTGTGACTAGACCATACTTGCATTCGAACGGGTACGATTAATAAAAAACGCCGTTTAAAACGCGCGTATAATACGGCGTTTAAACACCAAGAATATTTTTAAAAAACCTTAAAGAATATGCTTTCTTTTACTTAGGATTAGGGTTCTTGTACTGCCGACATGTGGCTAGATCCAGGGCCGCGAGCGTGCGCGTTTCTTTGCTCGTCACCTAGTGAAAAGAAAAAAAAAGCTAAACAGGTATTAAACGTTCGATAAAAAAGCTAAACAGGTATTAAACGTTCGATACCCGTTCGAATCCGGTTGCGTTCGAATGTTCGGATGCAAGTATGGACTAGACTTAAGAGGCAGGGAGACAGACTTGGAGGTGGAGTATCTCATTACAGCCTTATGGGATGGAGGCTCGAGCTTCGACGCTTGGCTCAACATTGGCTCCACAAAGGTTTGTCATTCTCCAGTACTCAGATCATCCGATTTATTTTCATGTTGTTACAGATTGCTCAATTTCTGCTCACAATTCCCTTTTCTTACGCACAAGCAGGCCTGCCCTCCTCAATAGCCTTTCAGGTGCTCCACTTGCTGATGGGCTGGTGGGGAGGCTACATAATTAACATTCTCTACTTGACATATCGAGAGAAGCAGAACCTTCCACTTGCACACAGCCGAAAGCGCAATACTCAGGTGGATTCTACTTAGAACTACTAGATTGCTGACTTGTTTTCTTCCTTTGCAGCTGCATGAGGTGTTGGGTGGGCTTCTAGGCAAATGGTGAAGTGTGGCAATGTCCTGATGGTGCCGTTTCTGTTCGTTGTGTGTGTTATTGAGTTATTTTTGTCTTTGCCTTATTCTGCTTATAACTTGCAGTATGATATGGCAGCTTTGTATATGAAATAAATAATCAATTTCCGAAAAGAACATGGACTGTGATATTTGGCGCACTCTTCTCCCTGTCCATTAATATGCCATCCGCTCAAAACTACAGAGCGTGGTCTTTTCTGGGAGTCATTGCGACTGTTTATACTTCATGTTATCTGGGGGTTGCAGCACTATTCCATGGAAAGGCAAGTGTCTCTATATTCTCATTCAGTAGTATCATCATCTTTGTCGTGCAGGTCTCACATGTTCAAGCTCTTGCTCCCCATGGCTATACAGGATATTTTAGTGCTCTCAGCAATTTTTTGGCAGTTGGAACAGAGATAATAACCTGTGTAAGTATTTTTGAAGCGGTTCATCGTCATTTTTATTTTATTAACTCTTAAACTTCGGTTTTCCAGAGAACTCATAGACGCAATGTGGAAACCGGAAGACTTCAAAACTCCCTGGTTTTATGGTATGATTTATGTTTGTATGGTGAGTATGCCAGCAAGCATGACTGTCTATGAGCTTTTTGGCGCTGAGACGTTGTCACATCCGTCTGCTTTGATGTTGTTTCCGAAGTCAAAGTTTCGGGACATTGCAATAGTTTTGTTGCTTCTGCACCAGGCAAGCTTTTATTGTTTTCCTTCTCAATATGAACCTCACAAGCTGTTGTTTGCAGTTCATCCTGTTTGGGATTCTGAGCTCGCCACTCTACCTGTTTTGTGAGAAGTTGTTTAAAATCCAAGATTCACCAAGCTTCACAAGGAGAACTTTGCTGAGAGTACCTATGTTTCCAGCAATCTGGTTAGCCGCTCTTGCATTCCCGTTCCTTCAGATCGCGGCTACTGCCATTTTCGGAGCCTGGAGCATATACATCATTCCTTGCACTGCCTACATTGTGATATTCTGGTGTAAGTTAAGACTACTTCCTGCGGCACAAATTCTCATTCTTACTCCAGGCGCTCCAACCTGCCTTACCAAAGTTGAGTTGGAAAACAACCTTCAGCATTAACCTGAGCATCATAATCTGGGTGGCAGCGATGAGCGGACTCGGACTATGGGCCAGCATAGTAGCCTACTCCCGACAAGCTGGGGAAGTCGGCTTATTCACAAAATGTTACATGTGCAAGTAAGTCAAATGTACGATAAGCCACCACGACTACTCCAACTGGGCACCTTCAATGGCCGGTTGTAGAGAGACGTCTAGGGTGGTTATGTTTAAATCTTTCAAAACTTTTGACGTAATTTCAAAACTTTAATGAAATTTTTTGACAATCGTAAGAAGTAGTCAAAGCAACCCACAGAGCCGAGGTCTGTTACACAACTGGCGTCCATTTGCTTTGATGAGGGCTATTGTTCCGGCTGTAATCCCAGCCCACACCACAGAGTAGAAGAACTGGAATATGTCGTGACCGACTCTCATGCAAACGAACTTAGAGCATTTTGGCATTGTGATCGCGGTTTGGTTCGCTTACCTTGACTCAACGATACGGTGGTCATGGTTATACCGGTGAACATCACAGCAGAGGCAAACGGAAGATGCTGCAAGCGTGGCAGTCAAGAATCTGTTGAATCAGCATTGAACAAAGATTTACAGCCAACGCCTCCAATCCATTCAGCTTGAATGGTGATGGCTTGTTTCCAGCAACAGTGTAGCAGCCCGCCACAAGATCTGTGCATTTTATATTTTTATCATCTTTCGAAAAATTGTTGTGACTTGAGGGTTGGAAATGCATGTACCTGTCTGATGCCGTCTGTAAAATTGTTGAAGTAGCGAGTAAGGGCGTTGAAGCCATCACGAATAAGGCCAAATATAATACGATTCCCATATCTATACAGCATAAGATGAAATCACAGCTCACAACCAGGTAACTTAGAGCCACACCTTACGAAATCTCCTTTCAATGCAGGTGTGCCTGAATACTGCATACTTATTTCATCCCCGTGGTCTGCCCACACTGATCAACAAACTTTTGATCAGTTCTTTTCATCCAACTGGAAGCCAGATGGTGGACTTACAGTTTTTGAACTTATTATCGAAAGCCGAATTGCTCCGGATTGTTTCCGACGATTTAAAGACACCCAACTGCTGAAGTTGACTTTCCAATGCTTTTCTTCCAAACAGACTCTGGGAAAAAAACGCGTACTGGTTCCAGCTGTACTTTAAAAAATACCTTGACAACTACACACCTGAGTGACATTTGTTCGATCTAAACAGTAGTCAACACAATTGTTCTAATACTGCCTTGCTGCACTTGTATAACCTCTCCAGCTGGATTAGTCAAAAAGAAATTGTAAGAAGAATAAGGATATGACCATCAGATTTGCCTTATCGTACATACTGTTGTTGTGAGAAATCTTCTTTATTTCGTCTTAAAGAATTGACAGTCGCTCGAAGTGTATGTGACCACATATACGGTGAAAATTATATTGCATACCTGCAAAAAAAAGATTAAGTTTGCAAAAATGAAGATGACCGGAGCTTATCACTTACCAGACTTTGCATAGCATTCCGAGTAGGCAAGACTTAGAATTCCCTCACTACCTGGTTAAACTAAAAACTTAAACGCCACTGTTCAGCAACAATGAGTTCATTAGGCCTTGATGCTCGCCTCTGCTTCCGAGGACGTTGACAACCTGAAACCACATTAAGCAGCAGGTTTGAATAGACGTTACAACAAACACACATGATCCAGGTAATTGACAGTGCAGCTAAACAATTGCTGTTGCACCATACTCGATAGATTTGACACAGCGACCTTTTCGACTTTCTCGCCCAAGTCGGAAAAATATGACTCGTAGCGCTTCAAATCCGCTGTTGCAGACATAAGCACCAACCTATAAAACGGAAATTTGAAACTGTAGTCCCAAGAGCTATTTGACAGTAGCCTACCGTATGTTCTTGTTCCTGAACATCAGGAAACCATTTGACCTGATTTTAAGTTTTTCCTTGACAATTGTAAAAGAGCTGATTATTGGGTCTTTGTCATGACTTTGTCCTTTGTCAAGTATAAGAGTAGTTTTTGTGACAATGTCATAATGTAAGTCTGTGCAATGCAAATTGTTCGCTGTAATACTCTTTCACCTTTTTTTCTGACTTCCTTCTCAAGTTTAAAAGATAAATGCAACAATGGTCACTCACCGGAAGTATCCTAACTGTATTCAATAAAAAAATGTATTCTAACAACTCCTTTATGTACTTAAATATTTTTAAATAATTGATATGTTGTATGATTTATATTCTCTTTTAGCTATAGTCTACTTATATGTTTTGGTTGATATTTGTTTAAATTGAAATCCGTATTGCACATGGTGAGAGTGATGGATGTCTTGCTGATCAGGAGTTTCCTAGGGAACCACGATACACGAGCCTTGCCAAGTACACGAGCAATGAGGAAGATGAACCTCCAGATGGTGATTGGAGGCAAGAGAAACTGAAGCTGCAGAAAGCTGAGGAGAAAGAAGCAATGCTGAAAAGCAAATGCTAAAGATGTAGAAGAAACCCTGCAAAGGCCTAGAGGTGATGGCAGAGTAGACTTGATCTTTTCCCTGTTTTTCAGATGCACAAAGAGCGGTGAGAATGCCAATGGAGTGGCAGAGACGTGAGATTGGCAATCGCAGTTTATGTCACTGAGGGTGTGTGGCAGAAAAGAAGCCTGATCATGAGGCTGAGATGCAGAAGCCTGAACATAAGGCTGACCTGCAAAAGCCTGATCATGAGGCTGTGATCCAGAAAGCCTTAGCATGGGCTTGGAGACAAAGGCGATTGACCAGAAGATCATGGGGAGTTCTTGATGGAGAACAAGTGCATTTCCTGATCTAGTAGAGATTAGAGAAGATCTTGTTGTTGTTCGCTGGCTGCGAGTGAGGGGGAGTGTTGGAGCATCACTCTTGCCAACTCATATGGCCAGGTCTAGGGTTGTGTCTGTTCGTTTCTGTACAAATACCTGAGAGCAATGAAGCGCTGAGTACTTCCGCTGTGATTCTCTGATTTCTATCACTCTGGGTTTTCCCCTTGAGGCTCCAAGGATTCCCAGTGCTGCAGCTGGAGCTGGGTCCAGTATAGTGGCATCCGGAGGATACCGTGGTACTTTTTGGGCGGTGACCAGTTTCTACCATGGTAGCGTTCCGTGCTCCACGTCCAGTGCATGTTCTCCACCATATGAGCCCCCAGAAGGGGTGAGCTGGAGCTCCTTGACCTCGGGCCACTCACTTATCTCGCTGTAGAGCTCCATGAACTCGTCGTTCATGGCTGAAATCATGTCGCATGCTTCGAACATTGCTTCCTGGAAAGAACACCCCCTATTCACACAGATCACCCACTCGTAGCTCCCCTGCATGTATTCCATCCGGAGCGATCCAATGTCGTTCGTCCAGGCCCCGAAGTGACTCCATCGCACACATCTGCAGGCGCTGGAACTTGGGATTATTGAGCAGGCTGTCTGAAAGCTCCATGTTGAGGGTGTACTCGAGCAGCACCAGCAGAGGCAAAGCGGCAACCGAGGCCCTCCTTTGCTCGATGTATTCTTCCAAGCTTGATACCGGTCTTTCTTTGTTCTTACCTTTACGTTGAAGTTGCTTCATGTTGGCTGCACACGTCTGCTTTACTGTGTCCGCAAATCTTTCCTGCTGCTTCACCGTCATTCCCCTACGGAAACTCTTCCACAAGTCTGCGAAGAAGAAACTGAACCTGGTTGCATGGGAGTTAAGCACCACATCGTTCTCCTCAGAGGCCAAACTAGAGCTGCTGTTGCTACTGCTCATAATTTTATCAGCTTCGTGAAGAAGTCATGAGCCTGTTGGACGGTCTTGGATTCCACGCTGAACTGTGTGTTTGATGTGTCGTCGATGCAGTTGTCAACAATTGTGTACCATGCCACGAACTTACCAATGTCCGAAACGCGTTCCTTGAGTCCATATGGATTCATCACACACGCCAGGAGAGCGTACTTCTCATTTACCAGCATCTGCTTCTGGAGCTTCGACTCTGGACGAGCGCATTGAAGAGCCCAAGCGTTCACTGATTTCGTGATTTCGTCGTAGGCTGGGTGGTTTTTGAGAGGAAAGGAACAGCACACTTTCGGAAGATAAAACTCCCTGATGGGCTGCCGATCAGCCATTTTGCAGAACACAAATGTAAGAGAGAACAGAAGTGAAGAATGATAATTTCTAAGGACCTCTGCCTCCAACTTATATCCAATGTTAATCAACAAGTCGTTAGTATAATCCAAGGTAATCAGAATTATTAATAACAACCATTCCAAGCATATGCAAATTTGAGTAAAGCCTCGAAGTCTTCACCAACCTAACAGTAACAGATGACTAGTAATCTTCCAAGCATATGTATCTCAAACGATACGTGGAAAAAACGTTAGCTCGTCATGACCTCCTCGAGTCAAAGAACGACCTTGACACTGGGAGTCCTTGCTGTTCCAAGTCACAGGCTTTGTTTTCATTCTTTTATCCATCCATATTTCAGCCTGATTTTGCCCCTGTTTTTCTAGCAGTCGTTTGTCTTATGCTCCCACGTCTTCACAGCTCTGGACCTCCTCAAGAGATGACAGAGTGACATCAATCCATCAAGAGCCATTACATTGGTTTCTTTGTCATGCTCACTGGAGTGGACCTCCTTATTCTAGAACATTGCAACCAATTTTACAAGTTAGTGATAAAGTCCCAAAACAGATGATTATCTTTCTGGCTTTTGCCACTGTATCTGGATTTCTTGGGCCAAATAACTAGATGCATAAATGACAAAGTTAATAACTATTTAAAGTTTGTTGCTTATTAGGTACTAAATAGAATTTATTTGTTGTAAGTAGCCTTGCATCAACTTCCGTAGAACTAAGGCTAGAAGTAAAAGTTGTTGCCTATTTATGTTAAAACACCACACCAAATTAAATAGATGGTCTGTGATTGATCGCTAAACCCGAGGATGAAAAATGGATGGCCATACTGCATAAATTAATTTATATTTAGCATTTAAAACTCCCTAAGCTTTACACACCAAACACGAAAATTATATAAAAAGTTATGCAATAGCTAATTAGTATATAACTTTGAGTGATATGTTTAAATTAAAAAGTTAAATTAAATACCTCAAGTGTCAACATTGACTCAACAATGACCTTTTGAATTGGACCACATAATGAGGTCCCCAGCTATGAAGAATGTGACAAATTATGAAATGGAAACGCTATTTTAATATTTGTACACAAAAACTGTCAACATAACCTTTTTTCTTGAAAAAATCATTGTGACTTCGCAGTGATCTTTCCATTCGTATAGACTAGAGAGAAGTATCTCGCTGCAATGAATTTGTTCAGACGATGGGGCAACGCACTTGACTGCCAGCAGTTTCTCATTACGGCCTTCTGGAATGGAGGCTCGAGCTTCGACACATGGCTCAACATCGGCTCTACCAAGGTTTATCTTTCTCCAGTTTAATTAGATCTTTCAAATGGATTCATTCCATGTTTTCTGGCAGATCGCTCAAATTCTGCTCACAATTCCCTTTTCTTACGCACAAGCAGGCCTGCCCTCCGCAATAGCATTTCAGGTGCTCCACTTGCTGATGGGCTGGTGGGGAGTTTACATAATTAACATCCTCTACCTGACGTATCAGAAGAAGCAAAACCCTCCGCTCCAACACAACCAAAAGCGCAATACTCAGGTTACATACTACACTTCTAGCTCAGACTCTACTCGGAGTCTCGGATTGGTGATTAGTTTCCTTTGCAGCTGCATGAGGTGTTGGGTGGGCTTCTAGGCAAATGGTGGAGTGTGGCAACTCTTGTCTCGATGGTGCCGTATCTATTCACTGTGTGTGTTATTCAGCTTACTGCCTGTAGCAAGTAAGTGATTTAATTCTTTGTAGACTTTGCCTTATTATAACTTCAGTATTGTCTTCGAAATGAATGATCAACTTCCAAAAAGAACATGGACTGTGATATTTGGCGCCCTCTTCTCCCTGTCCATTATTATGCCATCCGCTCAAAACTACAGAGCCTGGTCTTTTCTGGGAGTCATTGCAACTGTTTATACTTCATGTTATCTGGGGGTTGCAGCACTATTCCATGGAAAGGCAAGTGTCTCTATATAATTCTCTTTCAGTAGTATCATAATCTTTGTCGTGCAGGTCTCAGATGTTCAAATGTCTCTTGCTCCCCGTGGCTATATAGGATATTTTAGTGCTCTCAGCAATTTTCTGGCAGTTGGAACAGAGATGATACCTGTGTAAGCATTTTATTGAAGCGGTTCATCGTCATTTTTATTTTGTTTTATCTAACTTTGGTTTTCCAGAGAGCTCATGGACGCAATGTGGAAACCGGAAGACTTCAAAACTCCCTGGTTTTACGGCATCATTTATGTTTGTATGGTGAGTATGCCAGCAAGCATGACTGTTAATGTAGTCTTTGGCGACCAGACGTTGTCACATCCGTCTGCTTTGAAGTTGTTTCCAAAGTCAAAGTTTCGGGACATTGCAATAGTTATGTTGCTTCTGCACCAGGCAAGCTTTTATAGTTTCCAGCTTGGTATGGACCTCATCACCTGTCATTTGCAGTTCGTCGTGTTTGGCATTCTGAGCTGGCCGCTCTACATGTTCTGCGAGAAGTTCTTCAAAGTCCAAGACTCACCAAGCTTCACAAGGAGATCTTTGTTGAGAGTACCTGTGTTTCTAGCGATCTGGTTAGCCGCTCTTGCATTCCCTTTCCTTCAAGTCTCAGCGCCTACTGGCATATTCGGAGCCTGGAGCATATACATCATTCCTTGCATTGCCTATATCGTGATATTCTGGGAGAAAGCTTTGAGTGGTGTAAGTTATGCTCAACTCAACCTCTTACTGATTCCTGCATCACAATTTCTCATTCTTACTCCAGGTGCCCCAACCTGCCTTTCCGAAATTGAGCTGGGAAACAACCTTCAGCATCAACCTGAGCATCATAATCTGGATGGCAGCGATGAGCGGACTCGCATTATGGGTCAGCATAGCAGCCTACATAAGACAAGGTGAACAAGTCGGCATATTCACAAAATGCTACATGTGCAAGTAAAAAGCCTGGACAACTACAAGTTTGCATCTCGGCACAACTTTTGACCTAATTTCAAAACATTCATGAAAGTTTTTGACAGTGGTGAGAGGTAGTCAGAGCAACCCACAGACTGTTACAAAACTGGCGCCCATTTGCTTTGATGAGGGATTGTTCCGGCTGTAATCCCAGCCCATACCACAGAGTAGAAGAACTGGAATATGTCGTGACCGACTGTCATGCAAACCAAGTTAGAGCATTTTGGTATTGTGGTCGAGTTTTGGTTTGCTTACCTTGACGCAACGATACGGTGGTCATGGTTATACCGGTGAGCATCACAGCAGAGGCAAACGGAAGATACTGAAAGCGTGACATTCAGAAATCTGTTAGAGCATCAGCATTGAACAACGACGTCTACTTACAGCCAACGCTTCCAATCCATTCAGCTTGAATGGTAATGGCTTGTTTTCAGCAACAGTGTAGCGGCCCGCCACAAGATTCATAGCGTCCTGTGCATTTTATATTTTTATCATTTTCCGAAAAATTGTTGTGACTCGAGGGTTGGAAATGCATGTACCTGTCTGATGCCGTCTGTAAAATTGTTGAAGAAGTAGCGAGTAAGGGCGTTGAAGCCATCACGAATGAGGCCAAATACAGTACGCTTCCCATATCTATACAGCAATAGATAAAATCACAGCTCACAACCAGGTAACTTAGAGCCACACCCTACAAAATCTCCTTTTAATGCATATTGCATGCTTATTTCATCCCCGTGGTCTGCCCATACTGATCAACAAACTTTTGATCAGTTCTTTTCATCCAACTGGAAGCCAGATGGTGGACTTATAGTTTTTAAACTGCTTATCAAAAGCTGAATTGCTCCGGATTGTTTCCGACGATTTAAAGACACCTAACTGCTGAAGTTGACTTTCCAATGTTTTTCTTCCAAACAGCCACTGGGAAGAAAACGCGTACTGGTTCCTGACTGGTTCCAGCTATAGTTTCAAAAATACTTTGATGTCAATACACACCTGAGTAACATTTGTTCGATCTAACCAGCCGACACAATTTGTTCTAATAATGCCTTGCTGCACTTGTATAACCTCTCCAACTGGATTAGTCAAAAAGAACCTGTAAGAAGAATAAGGATATGAGCATCAGATTTGCCTTCTCTTACACATACTGTTGTTGTGAGAAATCTTCTTTTGATGCGTCGTAAAGAATTGACAGTCGCTCGAAGTGTATGTGACCACATATACGGTGAAAATCATATTGCACATACCTGCAGAAAAAAGATTAAGTTTGCAAAAATGAAGATGAATACATTAGTACCGGAGCTTATCAGTTACCAGACTTTGCATAGCATTCCGAGTAGGCAAGACTTAGAATTCCTTTGCTACCTTGCTGGTTAAAATCAGATGTCGTAAAAACTTAAACGCCACTGTTTAGCAACAATGAGTTCATTAGGCCTCTGCTACCGAGGACATTGACAACCTGAAAACCACATTAAGCAGCAGGTTTGAATAGACGTTACAACATACATACATGATCCAGGTACTTGACAGTGCAGCTAAACAATTGCTGTTGCACGATACTCGATAAATTTGACACAGCTACCTTCTCGACTTTCTCGCCCAAGTCGGAGAAATATGACTTGTAGCGCTTCAAATCTGCTGTTGGCAGACAGAAGCACCAACCTGTAAAACGGAAATTTGAAACTGCAGTTCCAAGAGCTATTTGACAGTAGCCTACCGTATGTTCTTGTTCCTGAACATCAGGAGCTTCACGCAGCAGAGTACCATGTCCGACTCAACGGATTGCTCATGCACTTCATCCAGTATAAGGACGTTGTACCGAGAGGCTACGGCAATCCCTCTAGCTTTAAGCTGTTCTGGGAAAACACCAGCCGTCTGGAAGACGATTTTGGACCTGCAACATGCATTTCCTTCATTCGCCAATCAAATGAAGAACCAGACAGTACCTAGCACTTGATTTGTTCAACTGTCCAATATGAAATCCAACTTCATCCCCTAGATCACATCCTCGCTCCTCCGCCACCATCTTGGCAACAGACACCACGGCAAGGCGTCGCGGCTGCGTACAGAGAATCGGAGAGAACCCATCCTCGAGCAACATTTGAGGAGCTTTTCGCTGCAGAAATCCAAGCAGTTGAGCAACAAGGGGCTGCGATGAAGAAAAATGCTGATTCAGTCTCAGCCAGAATCAGTGTCACCCTGTTCGAGCTCACTTTATCAACGATCGTCTGCTTGTGCCGCCGCACAGGGAGCCTCCGCGATCGGGCAACCTCTGACATCAAATGCGAAGATTTAGGGTTTTAAGCAAAGTTTTTGTTGACGATTGTAAAAGAGGGGTCATCCTATGATTATGTCTTGGGTTGGGTCTTTGGTCATGACTTTGTGACATGTCATAATTAAGTTTGTGCAATGCAATTTTTTCTCTTTACGTTGTAATACTCTTTCATCTATTTTTCCGATTTCTTTCAAGATAAATGCAACATACATTGTGTACTTAAACATTTTTATATAAATTAATATGTAATTCAAATGTTATATATGTTTTTGTTGATATTTTTTTAGATTGAAATCTGTATTCTGGTGGTGAGATGATTGATGGATGTCTTGCTGATCAGGAGTTTCCTAGGGGACCACGACACACGAGCCTTGCCAAGTACTTTGGAGGATTTTCCCCTTGAAGCTCCAAGGATTCCCAGTGCTGCAGCTGGAGTTGGGTCTAGTATAGTGGCATCTGGCAGCATCCGGACCACACCGTGGTACTGTTTGGGTGGTGACCAGTTTCTACCATGGTAGCGTTCCGTACTCCACGTCCAGTGCATGTTCCCAACCATATGAGCCCCCAGAGTGTCCAAGTAAGGGGTGAGCTGGAGCTCCTTGACCTCGGGCCACTCACTTATCTCGCTGTAGAGCTCCATGAACTCGTCATTCATGGCTGAAATCATGTCGCATGCTTCGAACATTGCTTCCTGGAAAGAACACCCTCTGTTCACGCAGATCACCCATGGCAGGCTGTGCTCGTAGCTCCCTTGCATGTATTCCATCCGGAACGATCCAATGTCGTTCGTCCAACCCCCGAAGTCCATCGCACACATCTGCAGGCGCTGGAACTTGGGATTATTGAGCAGGCTGTCTGGAAGCTCCATGTTGAGGGCGTACTCGAGCAGCACCACCAGAGACGAAGCGGCAGCCGAGGCCCTCCTTTGCTGAATGTATTCTTCCAAACTTTGTACCGGTCTTTCTTTGTTCTTACCTCTACGTTGAAGTTGCTTCATGTTGGCCGCACACATCTGCTTTACTGTGTCCGCAAATCGTTCCTGCTGCTTCACCGTCATTCCCCTATGGAAACTCTTCCACAATTCTGCGAAGAAGAAACTGAACCTGGTTGCGTGGGAGTTAAGCAGCAAATCGTTCTCCTCAGAGGCCAAACTAGAGCTGCTGTTGCTGCTGGTCATGATTTTCATCAGCTTCGTGAAGAAGTCATGAGCCTGTTGGATCCTTCTGGATTCCATGCTGAACTGTGTGTTTGACGCGTCGTCGAGGCAGTTGTCAACAATTGAGTACCACGCCACGAACTTACCAATGTCTGAGACGCGTTCCTTGAGTCCATATGGATTCATCACACATGCCAGGAGAGCGTACTTCTCATTTACCAGCATCTGCTTCTGGAGCTTCGACTCTGGACGAGCACATTGAAGAGCCCAAGCCTTCACTGATTCCGCGATTTTGTCGTAGGCCGGGTGGTTTTTGAGAGGAAAGGAACAACGCACCTTCGGAAGATAAAACTCCCTGATGGGCTGCCGATGAGCCATTTTGCAAAACACAAATGTAAGAGAGAACAGAAGTGAAGAATGATAATTTCTAAGGACCTCTGCCTCCAACTTATATCCAATGTTAATCAGCAATGAAAATACTAACAAGTCGTTAGTATCCAAGATAATCAGACTTATTAATAACAACCATTCCAAGCATATGCAATTTCGACAAGAGACTGGAAGTCTTTGCCAACCTAACAGCAACAGATGACTAGTTATCTTCCAAGCATATGTATCTCAAACAATACGTGAAAAACACGTTACGACTGTTGACTCAACAACGCTCCATCCAGCCCGTCATGACCGGTTTAGGGTTTAGGGTTTAGGGTAAACCTCAAAGGACTCGTAACAAAATCTTCTCAAAGGATGACCTTGACTGCCGTTCGGTTTATGGACAAGCCAGCTCGGCAGTCCGGGCCATGAGATTTCTTCAATCATCGTTGCACGATGACAGACTGAGATCAATCCATGGGGTTTGAGAGTCATTATATTGGTTTCCTGGTAGATTCACGTCATGCTCACTCTAGAACATTATTTCTAAGTTATGTACTTGTAGTCATAAAGTCTCAAAACGATGATTACTTATCTGGCTTTTGAGTTGTGCTCAAGTTTGTGTTAATTTAAGTGCTAGTAACTATGTTACTTCTTTGGTTTTAACCAGAATTTATTTGTTGTAAGTAGTATCCATAAAAGTAAGGCTAAAAGTGAAACTCAATTGCATTTAAAACTCCCCAAACATGTAAGAAGCTATGATCAATCATTGGGGAATCTAAGTAGAGTAATTTTCTAAGTTGATCTTCATTCCGTGTAGAAGGACTAAGAACTTGGTGATCTCTTGCGAGATGATCTTCCACTGCGTGTTCTTGCCGCTCTGGTTGTGATCCGGGTGGTAGAGCCGCAGCGCCTTCTTGAGCGCCGATCGTGGCGACTGGACGCTCTCGTCGACGATCCGATCGCGATCCGCGGGATCCAGCCCCGGCGGCGGATGCTCCGCGAGGAGAAACTCGAGGAACTTGGACAGGTTGTGCTTGTTCTTGGCGAAATTGGCCTCGAGGCGCATGAAAACTTTGGTCTTGAGCTCCTCGTGATCCCTCTTCCTCATTGCCAGGGCCTGGTACGCGCTCTTCATCCTCTCCACGAGCTCGGAGAAATTCTTCCTCCTCTTGTGCTGGAGCAGTGAATCGCCAATGGCGATGGCGCTCGTGTAGGCGCTCTCGCCCTGTTCTTCCAGCCCCAGAGTGACGAGGAGCTGCCCCACGCCTCCCAGCGCGAGAACCCGCGCCTCCTCGTCGCAATCCCTCGCCAGGCGCTCCGATTCGCGGAACTGATCCAGCGCGCTGACCAGGATCTCCTGCCGCTGCTCCGGATCCCGCGATCTCCCGGCCAGCTCGCGGAAATCCTCGCCCTTCTTCCTCGCCTG